TTTCTTTTATTTTTTACCTCTCTTCATCTTTTGTCCTTTCTTTCGTTCTTTCTTATTTTTTCTACCTCTCTTCATCTCTCTTGTCCCTTTCTTTCCGTTCTTTCTTACTTTTCTCTCTCTTCATCTCTCTTTGTCCCTTTCCTTCATTCTTTCTTATTTTTCTCCTCTCTTCATCTCTCTTGTCCCTTTCTTTCTGTTCTTTCTTACTTTTCTACTCTCTTCATCTCTCTTGTCCCTTTCCTTCGTTTCTTTCTTATTTTTACCTCTTCATCTCTCTTGTCCCTTTCTTTCGTTCTTTTTTTTCTACCTCTCTTCATCTCTCTTGTCCCTTTCTTTTTCTTTCTTTTTTTTTCTATCTCTCTTCATCTCTCTTGTCCCTTCCTTCTTTCATTCTTTCTTATTTTCCACCTCCTCTTCATCCTCTTGTCCCTTTCTTTCATTCTTTCTTATTTTCTCTACCTCTCTTCATCTCTCTTGTCCCTTTTTCATTCTTTCTTATTTTTACCTCTCTTCATCCTTTTGTCCCTTTCTTTCATTCTTTCTTATTTTCTACCTCTCTTCATCTCTCTTGTCCCTTTCTTTCTTTCTTTATTTTTTTTTTTCTCCTCTCTTCATCCTCTTGTCCCTTTCTTTTCGTTCTTTCTTATTTTACTACCTCTCTCTTCATCACTCTTGTCCCTTTTTTTCGTTCTTTCTTTATTTTTCTACCTCTCTTCATCCTTTTGTCCCCTTTCTTTCGTTTCTTTCTTATTTTTCTACCTCTCTTCATCTCTCTTGTCCCTTTCTTTCGTTCTTTCTTATTTTTCTACCTCTCTTCATCTCTCTTGTCCCTTTCTTTCGTTCTTTCTTATTTTTTCACCTCTTCATCCTCTTGTCCCTTTTTTTCGTTCTTTCTTATTTTTCTACCTCTCTTCATCTCTCTTGTCCCTTTCTTTCGTCTCTTTCTCTTTATTTTCTTTTCGCGTTCTCTTCTTTTCTCTCTTGTCCCTTTCCCTTTCCTTCGTTCTTTCTTATTTTTCTACCTCTCTTCATCTCTCTTGTCCCTTTTCTTTCGTTCTTTCTTATTTTCTACCTCTCTTCATCACTCTTGTCCCTTTCTTTCGTTCTTTCTTATTTTTTCACATCTCTTCATCCTCTTGTCCCTTTCTTTCGTTCTTTCTTATTTTTCTCTCTTCATCACTCTTGTCCCTTTCTTTTCATTCTTTCTTATTTTCTACCTCTCTTCATCACTCTTGTCCCTTTCTTTTCGTTCTTTCTTATTTTTCTACCTCTCTTCATCATCCTCTTGTCCCTTTCTTTCGTTCTTTCTTATTTTCTATCTCTCTTCATTCTCTTGTCCCTTTTCTTTCGTCCTTTCTTATTTTTCTACCTCTCTTCATCCTCTTGTCCCTTTCTTCCCTTCTTTTCTTATTTTCTACCTCTCTTATCACTTTTATCCCTTTCTTTCGTTCTTTCTTATTTTTTCTACCTCTCTTTCCTCTTTCCCTTTCTTTTTCTTTCTTTCTTTTCTCTCTTCATCCTCTTGTCCCTTTCTTTCGTTCTTTCTTATTTTCTACCTCTCTTCATCTCTCTTGTCCCTTTCTTTCGTTCTTTCTTATTTTTCTACCTCTCTCTTCATCACTCTTGTCCCTTTCTTCCATTCTTTCTTATTTTCTATCTCTCTTCATCTCTCTTGTCCCTTTCTTTTCGTTCTTTCTTATTTTCTACCTCTCTTCATCCTCTTGTCCCTTTCTTTTTCTTTCTTATTTTTCTATCTCTCTTCATCTCTCTTGTCCCTTTCTTTCGTTCTTTCTTATTTTCTACCTCTCTTCATCCTTTTGTCCCTTTCTTCCGTTCTTTCTTATTTTACTACCTCTCTTTCTCTCTTGTCCCTTTCTTTTTCGTTCTTTCTTATTTTTCTACCTCTCTTCATGTCCCTTTCTTTCTTTCGTTATTTCTTATTTTTCTACCTCTCTTCATCTCTCTTGTCCCTTTCTTTCGTTCTTTCTTATTTTCTACCTCTCTTCATCTTTCTTGTCCCTTTCTTTCGTTCTTTCTTATTTTTTCTACCTCTCTTCATCTCTCTTGTCCCTTTCTTTCGTTCTTTCTTATTTTTTACATCTCTCTTCATCTCTTGTCCCTTTCTTTCGTTCTTTCTTGTTTTTCTACCTCTCTTCATCACTCTTGTCCCTTTCTTTCGTTCTTTCTTATTTTTACCTCTCTTCATCTCTCTTGTCCCTTTCTTTCGTTCTTTCTTATTTTTCTACCTCTCTTCATCACTCTTGTCCCTTTCTTTCATTCTTTCTTACTTTTCTATCTCTCTTCATCTCTCTTGTCCCTTTCCTTCGTTTTTTTCTTATTTTTCTACCTCTTCTTCATCTCTTGTCCCTTTCTTTCGTTTCTTTCTTATTTTTCTACCTCTCTTCATCCTCTTTGTCCCTTTCTTTTCGTTCTTTTCTTATTTTTCTACCTCTCTTCATCTCTCTTGTCCCTTTTCCTTCGTTCTTTCTTATTTTTCTACCTCTCTTCATCCTCTTGTCCCTTTTCTTTCGTTCTTTCTTATTTTCTACCTCTCTTCATCTCTCTTGTCCCTTTCTTCTCATTCTTTCTTATTTTCTAACTCTCTTCATCTCTCTTTGTCCCTTTCTTTCGTTCTTTCTTATTTTTTACCTCTCTTCATCTCTCTTGTCCCTTTCTTTCGTTCTTTCTTATTTTTTCTACATCTCTTCATCCTCTTGTCCCTTTCCTTCGTTCTTTCTTATTTTTTTACCTCTCTTCATCTCTCTTGTCCCTTTCTTTTTCGTTCTTTCTTATTTTTCTACATCTCTTCATCCTCTTTGTCCCTTTCTTTTCATTCTTTCTTATTTTTACCCCTCTTCATCTCTCTTGTCCCTTTCTTTCGTTCTTTTTTCTACCTCTCTTCATCTCTCTTGTCCCTTTCCTTCGTTCTTTCTTATTTTTTCTTCCTCTTCTTCTCTCTTGTCCCTTTCTTTCGTTCTTTCTTACTTTTCTATCTCTCTTGTCCTCTTGTCCCTTTCTTTCGTTCTTTCTTATTTTTCTACCATCTCTTCATCCTCTTGTCCCTTTCTTTCGTTTCTTTTCTTATTTTTTCTACCTCTCTTCATCACTCTTGTCCCTTTCTTTCGTTCTTTCTTATTTTTCTACCTCTCTTCATCACTCTTGTCCCTTTCTTTCGTTCTTTCTTATTTTTCTACCTCTCTTCATCACTCTTGTCCCTTTCTTTCGTTCTTTCTTATTTTCTATCTCTCTTCATCACTCTTGTCCCTTTCTTTCGTTCTTTCTTATTTTTTTTTCCTCTCTCTTCATCACTCTTGTCCCTTTCTTTTTCGTTCTTTCTTATTTTTCCTCTTCATCTTCTCTTGTCCCTTTCTTTTTCTTTCTTATTTTTCTACCTTTCTTCATCACTCTTGTCCCTTTCTTTCGTTCTTTCTTATTTTTCTACCTCTCTTCATCCTCTTGTCCCTTTCTTTCGTTCTTTCTTATTTTCTACCCTCTTCATCATTCTTGTCCCTTTCTTTCGTTCTTTCTTATTTTTCTACCTCTCTTCATCACTCTTGTCCCTTTCTTTCGTTCTTTCTTATTTTTTCACCTCTCTTCATCATTCTTGTCCCTTTTCTTTCGTTCTTTCTTATTTTTTCTACCTTTCTTCATCACTCTTGTCCCTTTCTTTTTCTTTCTTATTTTCTACCTCTATTTTTCTTGTCCCTTTCTTGTTCTTTCTTTTTCTACCTCTCGTCCCTTGTCCCTTTCTTTCGTTCTTTCTTTCTATTTTTTTTCACCTTTCCCTTCATCGTTCTCTTATTGTCCCTTTCTTTCGTTCTTTTTTTCTTATTTTTCTACCTCTCTTCATCACTCTTTGGCCCTTTCTTTCCTTCTTTCTTATTTTACTACCTCTTCATCGTTCTTGCCCTTTCTTTTTTCGTTCTTTCTTACTTTTCATTCCTCTCTTCATCCTCTTGTCCCTTTCTTTCGTTCTTTCTTATTTTACTACCTCTCTTCATCACTCTTGTCCCTTTCTTTCGTTCTTTCTTATTTTTCTACCTCTCTTCATCACTCTTGTCCCTTTCCTTCGTTCTTTCTTATTTTTCTACCTCTCTTCATCTCTCTTGTCCTTTCCTTCGTTCTTTCTTAATTTTTCTACCTCTCTTCATCTCTCTTGTCCCTTTCTTTCGTCCTTTCTTACTTTTCTATCTCTCTTCATCAATCTTGTCCCTTTCTTTCGTTCTTTCTTATTTTACTACCTCTCTTCATCACTCTTGTCCCTTTCTTTCGTTCTTTCTTATTTTACTACCTCTCTTCATCCTCTTGTCCCTTTCTTTCGTTCTTTCTTACTTTTCTATCTCTCTTCATCACTCTTGTCCCTTTCTTTCGTTCTTTCTTATTTTACTACCTCTCTTCATCACTCTTGTCCCTTTCTTTCGTTCTTTCTTATTTTTCTACCTCTCTTCATCACTCTTGTCCCTTTCTTTCGTTCTTTCTTATTTTTCTACCTTTCTTCATCACTCTTGTCATTTTCTTTTCATTTCTTTCTTATTTTTCTACCTCTCTTCATCCTCTTGTCCCTTTCTTTCGTTCTTTTCTTATTTTTCTAACTCTCTTCATCACTCTTGTCCCTTTCTTTCGTTCTTTCTTATTTTCTACCTCTCTTCATCATTCTTGTCCCTTTCTTTCGTTCTTTCTTACATTTCTATCTCTCTTCATCACTCTTGTCCCTTTCTTTCGTTCTTTCTTATTTTTCTACCTCTCTTCATCACTCTTGTCCCTTTCTTTCGTTTTTTCTTATTTTTCTACCTCTCTTCCTCTCTCTTGTCCCTTTCCTTCTTTCTTTCCTGCTCTCCCTTGTTTTTTTTGTGTGTCTTCTTTCATACTTTCCTTCCTTGTTTCTCTTCCTTCTTTCTCGATTTATGTCGCTGCCTTTATGTCTTTTTGACTTTCTTTCATCCTTCCGACTTTCTTCCATTGTTGCTTCTTTCGTTTCTTGCTTGTTCCTTTCTTCTTTCATGTTTCATTTCTTTCTCGCCATTCTTCTCTCTTTCCTCCCTTTTTCCTTTACTTCTTTTCTCTTTGTATCCTTCTTACTTCGTCACTTACATATTTCAAACTTTCCTTCCTTCCTTCCTTCCTTCCTTCCTTCCTTCCTTCCTTCCTTGCTCTCTTCCTTCCTTCCTTCTCCCCTCCCTTACTCTCTTTCTTTCTTCCTTCCTTCCTCCCTTCCTCCCTCCCTTCCTTATTTCCTTGCTCGCTTCCTTCCTTCCTTCCTTCCTTCCTTCCTTCCTTCCTTCCTTGCTCGCTTTCTTCCTTCTTTCCTTCCTTCCTTCTTTCCGTCCTTCCTTCCTTCCTTCCTTCCTTCCTTCCTCCCTCCCTTCCTTGCTTGCTTCCTTCCTTCCTTCCTCGCTTTCTTCCTTCCTTCCTTCCTTCATTCTTTCCTTCCTTCCTTTCTTCCTCCCTTCCTCCCTCCGTTCCTTGCTCGCTTTCTTCATTCCTTCCTTTCTTCCTCCCTCCCTCCCTTCCTTGCTCGCTTTCTTCCTTCCTTCCTTCCTTCCTTCCACCGTTCCTTCCTCCTTTCCTTCCTTCCTTACTTTCATTTATTCATTCATTATTTGCGTCTGTTCTTTTTGTATATACTTAATCGAGACACCAGTTTTATAATTAAAACAGGAATCCTTTCAAAGAATTTCTGTTATCTTCATCAACCTTTCAATGGATTCAAACCTAAAATTGAAAGATTTCATTCGTCTCAATTATTTTAATGAAGTGAATAAACACTTTAACTTTTGTTTTCTGATTCTAACACTTACGCTTGTTTGTCTTCCATTGTACGATTGTTTAAAACAATCTGCCCACATATATAAGCTATAATTAAAAATGTAATACTGAAGAAATTAAAAGTATACACACACGCACACACACACACACACATATATATATATATGTCTGTACATATATGTACACGCTTACACAGACAGACACTCATATATATATGTTTGTGCATGTGTGTGTGTGCGTGTTTCCCTGTGTACTATTTAAAAAGGCCTATATTGATAAGGAAGGAGTGAGAGTGTATGTAATTATAAATACTGTAAATATAGAATGCAAAGTGAATGGGACTTTATCGCCTCAACCTGTTATAAGGCTTTTAAAATGTATATATATATATATATATATATATATATATATATATATATAGAGAGAGAGAGAGAAAGATAGATAATAGATAGATAGATAGATAGATAGATAGATAGATAGATAGATAGAGATAAAGAGAAATAGATAGATAGATAGATAGATAGATAGATACTACAGACAAAACTGCATTTCTTTAAAAAAAACACACGCTAAAATGAGATATTTGTGTATTTTTCTTGGAGTAAATGATAAAATGAGTTTTGACTACAATGTTCACTTTTATATTTACATACTCTCTATCTCTGATATTGAGCCCTTTATCCCTGAAATATAGCACACCTTAAAACTATATTTCTTAGATATATATATATATATATATTAATACACCTTTCACAAATTTTTCTAATAATTCTTTAATAGACAATATGCTAAGTTTTTTAATACTGTCTCTTCAGAACCCTAATAATTTCCAAAGATTTCATTTCTTTATTATGTGAAATAGCTATGACTTGCCTCGGTTTTGAATCCTGTATTTTCCTTCCAAATTATAATCCAAAGCTGGAGATCACAGTTTGACTGGTTACGTAATACATAGCGGGATGGGAAAGAGACGTATTCATGCCTTTCCCGAGGTTATTTGTTCGAGAGTCAATGCAACAGACTAGGCCGCCTCGCTGATTTTTCGGGCCACACCAATAACTTCAGTTTTACCCCATCACATTAAACGCATGATAACTAAGAGTGATTGTCTATGCTTGTCTGTTTCTCCTACCCCGTCTATTTCTTTCTTTCTTTCTTTATTTCTTTCTTTCTTTCTTTCTTTCTTTCTTTCTTTCATTCATTCTTTCTTTCTCTCTTTTTATCTCTACTTTTCTTTATCTCCCACAAACATCAATTATTAGTTGAACGTATCTTCTTGTCAAATAGAATCTTCGTGTAATTTGTAACACGCTGCTCAACGCTAGATTCCAAATTTGGATACTTGTGATAATATAAATTCGGGTATTAAATCCTCGGTGAGACTAATATAAGGTTTTCCATTGGAAATTCACAAGACTGAGGGTAAATTAACATGAATTATGAATTATGATCATAGCAAATGATAAGGTTAAAAGAATTAACTGCCTCTGAACATTCTCAGATGATTAGTAAATATATATGCAGACGTATGGGTGCAACTCCAAATATTTTGATGAGCAGTGCCTGACAGCTAATCTCTCCCCTGCCCTAGCTCTCATAGATCAATGGAGAAAAGATTTGGTGATATCATTCAATACATCGAAAACTAAACTGGTAACCTTTCAACGCCACGGAGAGGACCCTAAACCTGCATTAATCCTGATGTGTGGCCGTATAGCCCAAAGGTACTTTGCTTCAAGCAGATTTTCCCCCCGAAGTACGTTGCCATTTCTTCCTGCGATAGACCAGTTGCTATCCAAGACAATAGAACCCGGTCTGTCCTGCTATTTATCCCCAGTTGAAGAGAGAAGAGGAGGATTCATGTAAGTGAATGTAACGGATTCAAGTGGAATTCGAACTCGGCATATATACAACCAATCAGTCAGTTATGTGCCATGCGTGATACACGCTTAGGCGATCATGTATCTTTCGATACATGACTGACGAGGCAGATTTTTTTTCCCGCAGTAGGTTGCCATTTCTTTCTTCGGTAGACTAGTTGCCATCCAAGGCTATAGAACCCGGTCTGTCCTGCTATTTACCTATGGGGGTAGAATAAGATGATTCATGACTCTCCCAAGGATATTAGCACGTAAGTGAATCTAATGAATTCGACTGGAATTCGAAACCGGCTCTCCGAGTCTTCAATCCGAGCGACAATCCATTACTCCGCCGTTCCTCCTCTCAAACGCCTACTGAGTCTAATGTTCTCTCCCGATTTCAAATATATACTCATGCCATCGCAAAAGATCTAGAAAGTACCTACCTCCTATTACAATACTCTCTATTATCTAGAATCAGATCAACCCAGGAGTAGAGTATTGGATGACACCAATACTCTATTCTTGGTTCGATCTGAGATTCTGCTGCCCTGTCCTTCTTGCACATATCAGGATTTTTGCTGAGCAATACTCTTTTTCCAGCCTCGACAGAGTTCAAAAGCGCTTACGCGGCCTTGTTGGTGATGACCTATTCTCCATCACGAAACCATAGGCGATACGGTTCCACAATTTCACTACTATATCGCTATTACTATCGGAGATGTTCGAACGAGTTCAATTAGAACTATATTCAAATTAGTTCTTTTTGTTTCATTTTTTTTTTTACTTTATTCCATTTCATTAACTTGACGATTATCTTTTGCTTTGATGTTTACTCATAGGCAAACAATGATATTGCAAACATACAGCAGAATCGTCACTCAGCTTTCCATCGACCGGCCAGTGACTACACCATGTTACGTCTCCATTCTCATCGGCGTCAATGTGTACCAAATAAACCGGCGAAAGGTGAACATAACTTTCGCAGCGTCAAAATGGGGACTGGAACCGTGTTTTCGATATATATTAACTGTTTTAATCGGAGCTTAGCTTAATCGGGCTCCATGGGCAAATAAGCGACAGTTGAGACAACTCCTGTTACGTCAGACAAACAGCTCGTCTCGTTTCTTCTAGCTTCCTCCTACTAACTCCCTAGCCATCTCAAACTGGGTACACGTAGCTGGCAGCACAACTGGGAGGCAATCGGAACGACCCGCAGCCTGTACCCGCAAATCTCGACAAGAATCCACACTGTGACGGTTAAAGATACACTAGCAGCTGGAAATCAAAAATTTCCAAGTTGTTTTCACTTGACCTCAAAAGCTCTTTTATTTAGTTGTTCTTTTCTTTCGCCTCATTGGTTGTGGGTGACAGGTAGAAAACTCGACTTTAAAGACATTATCCACCGGCCATAAAATAGAAAGACTTCAGGATGAGACGAAGAAACATCGAAATATTAACAAAATCATCCCTGACGCTACATTGTGACAAGGGTATTTATTTACGCTTGTTGAATAAACATAATCGTTTATTGTTGTGTTACTCTTTAGTTTATAAATATATAACTTCCGTTCACCTTCGACGAGTCAGTTCGTTGGAATATGTCAGAGAATATGACTTTGGACACCATTTATGCAATATTTTCGATAGTTACTTAAGGAACTATTCCAAACGCATTGTTCCATCGAAGTTATTACCACCTTAAGCCGAATCTAAAATAAAGGAAATTCTATATAAAGACTTTATCTTAAATTTTTCGTAGACAAATTATTATCAGAACTAAGAAACTTTGATGTGTATTACGAAAATTCCCTAATACAGTAGAAGAGTTGCCGATGTGGGATGTGTGTTGGAGAGGAATAGAAGGTTTGAATTATCAGAAGGCTTAAAATTGTGTGTGTTCAATAATCTTCCATCCAAAACAAATAATACAAAACAGAGAATAATGATTCATAAATATCTTGTTTCAAAACGTAACAATTGAATTTATTAGTGTTTGATATACATGCATGAATACTGAGTGAAAAGGTTAGACAGAGTTGTGTCTCTTAGATTAGGTAATATTTGTACCTAAGTTCATAAAGTGAAAGTAATTATTAAACTGTAGTTTAGAAGAATAAAGTTTCTTTAGCATGTTTGAAATTGTGTATTGTACAAGTTGGTAAAAGTTCAGAAGAGATTTCAGAGTTTGTACTTGCGTGAATGTTGGTAATGGTCTTTAATGTCTGACTGCATTAGTTAAGACGGGAGTTCTTGAAGATTACATCTTGGTAGAAAGGAATGAGACGCGCGCGCGAGAGAGAGTTTACACGTGTTTTGTTTATATATGATCGTGAATCACTTGACTGGTTTAGATGGAAAACGCGGGAAAACAGATTTGTCGCGTGCAGGTGGTTTGTTTGATCGGAACTGACCAATCAGCAAGCTAGATTGAAGGTGATTAACCAATGAATACTTGTTATATATTTTGTAAGATTGTGATGGTGAAAATTACAACAGGAATAGTGCATTTCCTAGCAGGGCTTAACTGGCTTGTTGTGGAAGATTCCACAGAAGCCCTCATATCTGAACCTCAGAGGAGTTCGGTTATAAGGGCGGCTTCGGATATAATGTGGTATGTATAATATAACTCTAACTTAACAACAGTTATTCTCGGCATCCTTATGTAGGACTACGTTTCTGTTGCTCTAGGTCTCCTCTTCAGATCTGAGGAAATTATCTAGCATTCTCTGCTATATAGAAGGGGTGATATTACAAAACAGTTGAGCACACTTTTCTTTGATTCTAATGAAACCTTCCTGTTTCGTAATACATTGCTCAGATGAAGAAGAGACTTGAAACAACAAAAGTGTGTTTCTACAGAAGGATGCTGAGAGCACCATGAACAGAGAGCGTAAGCAACAAAGATGTCTTAAGGAAAATGGAAACAAAAAAGACACTTACACACAAAATCAGATAAAGAAATATCAACTGAAATTTCTTGAATATATAATAAATAAATATTGTTTGGAGATTCTGATACTCCAAGAAGATATCGAAAAACAAAAAGAAAAAAGGAAATAAACGGAATACCTATCTGAAAAGATTGTATGAATGGTTAGCAGAATAGGAGTGGGTGTTGTGTCAAAAAAGACAAACGTTACTAAGTGCAAAGAGAAAGCTGTGGAGAGCCATAATCGTTTATATCCCGAGAGGACACGACATATAGAGGAAGACGATGCAACTTGATAGAGTCTTTGTTATAAGTTATAATTGTTATATAATAATTATAATTAAGTAATTTTAGAAATACATATTTATTATATTGAGAATTAGATATTCGACACAAGGTCAATATGGGGAGGGAAAAGACCGGTTTTCTCTAGTACTATCTTAACCTAATAAGTCTCTCTCATTAACCCATCAGTACAAATAAGTTTCTATTCACCATAGTATCACTAATTGCATTACAGTCACCAAAATACCTCATTTACTCAATGAAAACCAGAGAGCCGAGTTCCAATTCCTGTTAGGTTCTATATTCACTTACGCTTGGTGGTGCAGGACGACTCCTTACCGCCGCCTCAACGCCGCCGACTCAACACCGTCGTCTCAACTATGACATTTTTCGTCGTTTTTTTTTAAAAACAAATAAGAGTAATTTATTAAGGATCATTATCGAAACATAATTTTTTAAAACTGAATAAATGTATCTTTCTATATTTCTGAGATGAGGTATTATGTAAACTATTTACATCATTCGGACTATTGTTCTCATCTTTGTTGCCATATTTATCACCTCAAGGACACATGGCACAGTGGATAAAGGGGTTAGTTAGATCTAGTGCCAGGACCCAAAGAGTGTTAGTTCAATACCTGGTTAAGGCGGTGGAGAACTTGGAGAGGGGAATTAACAGGAGATAACTGATAACTGACATCCGTTAGACATGGCACGTGAAACTAGAACAGTCTACACCAGTGAGCGAAATAAAGGGTTCAGTTCGACATTCCAACCACCTGAAGAAGGTCGGAGCATACAACGGCCGAAACGTTGTGATAAATATGGCAACAAAGACGAGGACAATAGTCCGAATAATGTAAATATTGTCAATAAAAGTAATTTATTGAAGATCATTTTTTTGTATATGATGTTTAAAAATTTATTGTAAATTGCATGCAGTTCCCTCTTGCGGCTTTCCTTTTGCGTTTCCCTTATAGCTGAATTACCTAGCAATGGTCCCAGTGTAACCTGACATATATTTGCTAATACTTTACTTATTATTAGACTTGGCTTTTCAACGTTGTCTTCGGCACGACGTTTCAAGTATGTATGCACTTTAGCCATTTCTAGAAGTGTCTGCATGCGTCCCCGCGTGCATGCATCATCCGTTGGTATACTAAGCTACTCCCCACTCATTCTTTTG